GAGGCCTGGAAAAGTGCTACTGACTAACTGGTACAGAAAGCAAACTAAAGACACAGGAGGTAAAATGTCCTGTTAACAATAGACAAAACAAAAAAAAAACTAGGTTACAGTGTGGGCAAGGCAGGCAAGACAGGAAGAGATGAGGATGCTAATGGTGGGTTCTGGGCCGAGGACAGCTGGGTGCAGCTGGACTTCAGAACAGTTACCCTGACCTACCCTGCCAAACAGTTTAGATCTTTTTTTTTTTTTTTTTTGTCTTTTTCATTTTTATCGGTACCAGGGATTGAACTCATGACCGCCTGCTTGCAAGGCAGGTGCTTATGCCGCTGAGCTAAATCCCCAGCCCCCAAACAGTTTAGATCTTAAATGGCTCCCAACGGCCTATATTCCAAAGATCTGGCCAGCATCCTGTGGTGCCACTGGTGTTTCTGCTAGCAAGCACTTCTGGGGTGCAGAAGTTGCCCGAGATAAGGGCATGACCTTTGGAAGGCCAAGTTTCACAGTTCATTCTTCTTGGGATAGAATTTAATGGATAGGAGTTGGTTACATTTGTTAATGTATACACAGCATTATATATCTAGAAATTTTAAATCATCTAGGTCAAAATGTCAGAAGTTTAGCAAGATTTATATTTAACTTCAGTCAGGTAAGTATGAAATATGTTCAGTCTACTGTGTCTCACATCTAGGTTTCACCTGCTGCTGTAGAAAGATCCACAGTACCATCTTTGATGATAAATAGCCACTGATATCAAGAGAATCAGTCATAAATAGGAATGTAGCTAAAAGGAAAAAAGCTCTCTCTGCTATGTTTTAAGTCAAGTCTAAGAGCTGGCTTCTAAAATATTTCAGTTCAACATATTCTGTTTAATTTTCCCTGATTCATGTCATATGCTACATCTGCTATTTCTAATGAAATGAAAAAGAACTGAAAAATGAGAAGATCCCTGGCAACTAGCCCATGTTACTGGCATTTTTGTTTTAAGTTAAATTTATTTTTTGGGGGGGGACAGGGGACACTGGGGATTGAACTCTCAACCTTATGCTTACGAGACAGGCACTCAAATGCCATTGAGTTAAATCCCCAGTAAGTGAAATTTATTCTTAGTAAGTAAAAATGTCTATTGATTTGCAACAGATTTACTTAATATCTCCAACAAACTAAGATACAATTATGTATCTATTACATAAGAAAACCAAAAATTTCATTTGTATTGATGATAAATGGCCCCATTCACAGAGCCAGTCAAGTAGCAGATCTGGGATTTGAGCCTTACTTTCTGTCTTTCTCGTAAGCTACAATCGGTTTCCAAAGTTCCTTAAATGGCCTGTTTGTAGCTTGTTCTGACTAATTTACTTCTCAATTGAATTACCTAATGCTCATCTTATCAGCACCTACAATTTCAATATTTTGTAGGCACTAACAATATGCCACTGTTCTGAGCAATTTGTGCAAATCAAAAGTTTCTGTCTTCATGGATCTTACTGTCTGAAGAGAGGGGACAGGCAATAAACAAATTATTACAAGTAATCAGTGCTAAGCCAAACCTATCAAGGGCAAGATAAGAAAGACTGGGTGAGTTGGAAGTGGGCAGGGTGTTGCAATATAGAGGCTGTTAGGGTGAATTCCTCCAGATGACACCTGAGACAGGAGGGTTGGGAATTAGGGAACTAAGCAGTGCAAGCACTTGAAATAAGACGTGTTTGGGAATATCACATGCATGTTGCTTAAATCAAGCAATAAAAAATTATCAGGTCTTACTGAATGATGTGAGGCAACTTCGAGCTTATTAGACATATAGAACAGAAAATGTTTTAACTCTCAAAAGAATTCACAATCATTTTATGAAAGAGCTAAGTATCTTGAAACAAATCATAAAGATCTGAAATACACTGCTGTGTAGAAAACAGAACTGTCAGAACAGATTATCTCACACTGGTGAGTATACACAAGAATGACTTCAACCTTCTGTTAGTCACTGTTGAAAAACTATGCACACCTGCCAAGAGTATGGTGAAATATGTCATATGACTATGACTGCTTCTGAGTGTGATCACTTCCTGCTACTTCACCCTTGGCAAATAATCTGGTTGTTTACAAAGTACCAAACTGCGCAGAACTTAAGGAAAATAACATGAGATAACAAAATAATAAAAGTTGAAAACATCAGTTCAGAGATATTACAGCAAGGATATTTGTAAGTTTTCTGGTCACATATTAAAATAACTGAGGAAAATAAATTTTGTGTCCTTGTCACCGTCGGGATGACATGCCATGGCTGAAGCCCTTGCACTGTAATAGTATCCAGGTAAGTTGTTGTTCATCCAGTGAACAGTTGGGCAGCAGGCATGAGCTAGAAAGTAAATACTTTCCTAGGGCTGCACTAGAGACCACCAGGACTCAAGTTTATGGAAAAACAGACTGGTTTCTGAAAGTACTAGATGGTATCACACAGCTAAAAAGACAGCAGACTGAATGCATGGGGTTTGTTCAAATCTGTCAAAGTAGAAATAACTGAAAGCACCTTCAACTAGAAATTCTGTTAAAATTTCATGTAGAGGGTTGGGAGTGTACCTCAGCACTAGAGTGCTTGCCTACCATATGTGAGTCTCCAGGTTTGAGCCTTAGCAAAGAAAAAATGTAGAATAAAAGCTAGATGAAAGTTTTGTTTTCCAGAACAGGATTTTATTGGAGCTGACTTGATGATGTACCCAAAGGTGTTTATGCACGTCTCCCTTCCACACATAGCTTCAAAATCGTATCATACCTGTGTTTAAGTTGATGACACAAACACAACCTAGGATTGTAAGCTTACTAAACAATGTAGTATCATCCAGGCAATGGGAGGTAATTTCCAAAGGGCTACTGCAGTGCCCAGAAAACTAACATGTGAGCCACTGGTGACTACTGTTAACTTACCAGGCACTCCAGTCCTGTCCAGTAGCCACTGCACATAGTTAACTATCATGTTTTAGTTTTTTGAAGTGTTAACCTCTGATTGCAAACAGTCTAACCTTTTTAAAAAGAGGTGCATGGTGTTTCATTCTAAGAAAACAATTTGGCATTGGGGGAAATGGAATAAAGGAGTCTGTCATTGACAAGTGCAATTCTTTTCCTAGTGTCCATTTGCACAGGGTTGAGGTTCTTACTGGGTATATTCAATCTGGGTGGTGCATGCACATTTCCAGATAGAAGGGACTAACTTCAGCTTTTATACTAAATACAAAGTGAGTAACTGTGTGTTTTGTTCACAAAAGTACTTTTGACCTGCAGAATGAATAAATCAATCAGGACAATAAAGTCAAGATTATCTCTGGCAAATGTAGATTTAACCCTCATTTATTTGAGCTCTATCAGTATATGGAAAAACCAGAGGACCCCTTAATCTGTTTATCTCTGATATACCACTTAAAACTGCATTCCTCCCAAAAAGTATTAGAAGTCAACCTAACATAGGATATTCATAGGAGGATACTTCCTAATGTGTTTAGTCATGAAAACCTTTGCCACAGCCCCAGGATAAGCTTTGAAAGACAGGCTGGCAGGAATCCCAGGTCTGGCACTAGAGACAAAATGACTTATAGAAAATCCAGATCCTAGACCTCAGAAGTACCTGGACTGCCTTTGCCTCTGAACTTACCTAAGTTATTCAAAGTTCATGTATCTGTAAAAATCAGTGGGCTACTCTAAAATGGCATGTAACATCCTATCCAAGGATTTAAAGTTCCCCTGCTGCTATGTTCAGATAGAACAAGCAAAGGCTTCTTGCAAAGATAGACCCTCTATTCAAACTACATCTGCCATAATCTACAGACTGTGCACAGGGACTGTTGCAAACGTGGAGGGGAAATATCTGCTGTGTACTTTTTTTGCGATTATTTTGATTTTTTTGACACAAGGAATATGTAGCCCAGGCTGGTCTTGAATCTTCTTGCCTCAGCTTCCTGAGCTGGTATTACATTCGACCCAGCTACTTGGGTATTACAAGTCCAGCTACAACACTGAATTCCTCGGAAGTAGGTTAAGTCTGTTTATTTCAATGTGCAGTTTATAGCTTAACTGAAGTATCAGCTTCCTCTTAGCTTTATTAGGGAACAACACCCTGGTATTTTTGTTTGGACAGGTGTCCATTTTAGTATTTTGTTTGAAATTAATTCCTGCAGAGCTTCCGTTTTTAGAAAATTACGTAGTGCTCACTTTGCTTGGGCTTCTTCCTCTCCTCAGCCTTTAGGTAACTTTTCCCATGAAAACCTGGGCATATTCTAGTTGTTGGTGGAATCCTACCACAGATCTACTTTTTTTGTGGTTATTTTGTTCTTTAGAGCTATCCAGGAAGATACCACCTCCTGATAAAATTACTGTCAAGAGACAGGTTACAGGGCTTTCTGGAGAGTGTTTATTCCTGTCTTGGTAGTTTAGCCTCTCATACAATTACACTGAAGGCTCTTCAGTCAGAACACACTTGTGCAGACTGGAAGAAGTGTTACTTGCTGTTTTGGCAGACAGTGGTCTCAAACAGAAAAAGCTGTGATGGAGAAAAGGTGGTATGGCTGACTTGCAGGCAATCTGGGAGAAGAGAGCAAACTTCAGTACGCAGAATTATATGAGGAGCTCATTAAAAATCAGACACCCACATTATGATTCGGAGTCAGCAAACTGGGACAAGGCCTCAACATCTGCATCTGTGATTAGCACATCTCCACCCCCTTGGCTGTGATACAAGCAGTGTTCCACCTCCAACTTTGTGAAACACAAAGCGATGCCACAGCACCTAATCCGCTGAGGAGAAAAACCATCCATACATCAGAAGCATACTAGGCACAACTGTGACATTCACCCTTAGACAGCTACTCCTGGTCAGAGAAGAGCTGAGCAAACACAGATGCGCTGAACACAAGGGAGCACTCACTGCCAACAGCCATCCCACACGAAGCTTTCTTTTTAGGAGTCCACACGTTGACAAGCTCACACCAAAGAAAGGCAGCAGTACTGAACTCAGTAGAGTTTTACAATAAGCAATTATTTTATTTCCTTGGCCTGACAAGATTGACCTCATTATACAAGAACCTGAAGCTGACAGGACACACGGATTTCCCCCAATGGAAGGATCCTTTTCATTAGCAGAGATGAAATGTCACATCTGAGCGCAAGTCCTGCTCCCCACCCCCACCCTCAACCCTTAAATGAAAATAAACGAATTAAACTCCCATGAATTACTAACGTCATCCCTCCAAACATTTCTAAGTAGCAGCTGCAGTGGATGAAAACCAAAGGAGGGAAGCAGCTGGCCATTGCTTAGCTTTTTCCTGTCTGTGCGTGAGACTGAGGGACAACAGCGAGGGAGCAAAAATTCTGGACGTGTGCAAAGTGTAGATAATCTACCTACCTCATACCTGCCCCTTCCACATGAAAGACACCTCTGTCTCTGTACATGGAAACTGCTAAAGGTAACAAGAAACAACTGGCTTTAGCCTGCAAATGAAAGTGCCCAGGGTTCAGGAAATTCCAAAATAGGTGTGGGATAAGGGGCACGAGAGAGAGAGCAGTTTAAGACAAAAGCTCAGCACTCAAGTCATTTCCAGTTTAATGCTATCAAAACTAACAGGCATCACCTTCTGTAGGACTGCCATTTTCCAAAGTTAAGACAGTTCCTTCTGAATGTGTGGGTGTCTACTGCCACCTCTGGGGTGTGACATTCATATACGAGAAGAGACTATCAGCTGATGCAGGAAGGGGAGAAACAGAAGCAATCAAAGGCTATGGTGCTTTAATTACTGTAGGTATGTTTTGGTCCCCAGGTATGGTCCGCTACTACAGTTCCTAAGGAATTCTTGTTCCCTTTCCTATTTCGTTTTGTGCAAATGTCAAAAATTGAAACTCTGCCCAAAGAGATGGGAATTGCTACTGGATTACATTCACCTCTGGCTTTAACCTGCCCACCTTCTCACCTACTATGAAATCACAAAAGAACTTAGTTCTTGGGAATGCCATGAACTTAGGCTATCTCTATTCTCTTATCAAAGCCAGTCCAGCAGCTCTGTCCTGACATGCTTTCTCCCTGGGCCAAAGAAGCAGCAAAAAAACATCAACTGAGCATGTGAAAATATGACGCCAATGTGTGCAGTGTAATGTTTCCAATGTCTTCACCTTCTGTCTTCTCCATGGTGGGAGCCCTCCTTCTCTTCCCTCAAGTCCCACTCACAGCCCGCCCCACCCCCGAGTCCAGGTGCTCCCATCTGCTGGGTTTCCACCACTCACTTCCCATAGACACTCTCATCACTGTAGGCCACGTACAGAAAATAGTCTTCTTCATGGTTGTCCTAGAAAAATAGATATGATGACAGTTCAGAAAATATTCACACTCATTATCTCTGGGATTCCAAGCCTCATACCACCTAGTAAACCAGGTATGGAAGTTATTATTCACCTCCACTGAAAAAAACAGGGCTGGGATGTAGACCCATGGTAGAGCACTGTCTGCCATGGGCAAGGTCCCGAGTTTGATCCCCAGCAGTAAAAAAAAAAAAAAAAGAATAAATAGGCAGAAGTGGCTAGAATTAAGTTCTGATTTCACAGAAAAACCTCCATTGAGAACACAATACACATTGGTATCATTCTTACTCTTAAAAGTTCATTTTAATGGGGCTGAGGATTTAGCTCAGCAGTGTAAGCGCTTGCCTGGCAAGTGCAGTCATGAATTCAACCCCCGGTACCACCAAAAAAGACAAAAACAAAAGCCTAGCCAAAAGTTCATTCTAGCAACACAGATACTACAAGACACATATATCAGAATAAATACTAAAATGAAATGTATACTATGAAATAAGGCTAGATTAGGCATTACTCAATGTTTATGTAATTCCCTAATGGGAGACAATGAAAAGGCACTGGCTATATGAGATCTTTTAAGGAATAATGCAGTTCTAGTCCTAGATTATAATTATGCTTACAGTAGCTAAAGCCCTTAACAATAGCTTTTCTCAGATTCTGGAATTTTACCAGTTAAACCAAACCATGTAACATAAATGAATAAACTTAAGTACCTGGCCTTAGATTTCACTTCATCTGATTCATTTTGGTGTCAGATAATGAAATATCTGCTTCAAGATTTTTGTTTTGTTCCTAAGAAAAGCTTGAGCCAAATACTCCGAGTTTATATAGGAACCATGAAGACACAGCTTCAAGGATGTTACCTTCAGTGTGAGAAGAGTAGAGCTAGCTTATTCACGTTTGTTTTCTCTGTCTGTTGCTAAATGGGAATATAATGAACTGGGATTGGAGTGAGTTAATTCAGTCACAAATTATACATTACCGACAACAGTAAAGCTACTTTGCAACTTTTTGCTGTCAGGAAGTATTTCCTGCTACTTCAATAAAGGGGAGCCAGCATTAAAGCACTAGTCAGGCAAGAATGAGAAGAGATTTCAAAAGGATTAAATCTAGTAGAGCGCCCAATCTCTACCAGGACAAAAGGTATCTAATCTCCCACAGCCTTACACTGCCACGTGTAAGAGGATCCTGACAAAAAACACCTCCTGACCCACTTCCAGCTATGTCATCAGCATACACTGAATAAAAGCAGGAGGATGGCACCCTCTTCAGCATTGTGACAGGACCATTACCTCATACAGTTGGCCCATGGTTGCGCTAGTGGGAGGGATAGTGTTGTTGACAAAGAAGAATAAGGCGTCCTCAGGTCTCAGGTGGATCCTCTTCCGGATTAAGAAATAGAACTGGCCAACTGAATGTAGGAAAGGAAAAGGGCAAGGAGAAAAAAAACAACAGGGAATTAGTACGAGCTCTAAATACTATCCAAACACGTTCAAGTACCGACCAAGAGCTTTGGTAATAAACAGCAAAACTCAAAGGGGCCTTTATAATCCCTGACATGCCATACTGGTACCACTCCTCCTTAGTTTCAGACCTAATGTCAGCATATCCACTCAAGAATCTAAGTAGCACACGTTGGGGAGCATACACAGTCTAAGACAGCCCCACCTTTGTCTAACACTGACTTGAAATGCTTCTCTATCCCTACTTCCACCCTAAGACACACTAATGGGGGAAGGAGGGCCTGGGACTCCAGTAATATCGGCACTCAACCCACTGTTGAGGCCAAGAGAGGGTTCAGTGTTTAACGTTTTCCTGAGAGTACTGAAAAACTTCCAGAAAAGTGACAATCTGCTGTATTAATTCTGGAGCAAATTTATCTACAGAACCCAGGGTTATCCAGGATACAATGGAAATTACACTAAGAATGCAGGTAGAGACTGAGTATGTTCAATTCCAAATGGAATCTACAAAACATGTTTATAAAAGAAACTACACCTTTAAGAGATAAACATTTAATTAAGAACCTCTAAAATGTGATTCTCCCAAGCCAGGGCTAGTTTTTGTTTTGGAACAAATTATTACCATAGGAACAAGGTTGAATTTTTAGTGGTTTAAAAATGAATGAGTATTGGGGCTGGGGATTTAGTTCAGCGGCATAAGCGCCTGCCTTGCAAGCAGGCAGTCGTGAGTTCGATCCCTGGTACCGATAAAAATGAAAAAAACAAAACAAAAAAAAAAAATTGAATGAGTATCTCATTTTTAAAATATCTTTTGTTTTGCTGCATCTAAATCAAACAAGATACAGTGGAAAATGGTTCAGGTGATGAGTTAGATCACTTTTGATGGTGCTCTCTGACAAATCCCCTCTGTGTTCACCAATTCTCATGCATGTTACAAGTACTGAGAATGGTCTGTCAGCAAATGAAGGTCCCTGGTAGGAAAACAACGTTACCAGTGAGGTCAGAGGGCACTAGGTACTTCCTCTTGTCCAGATCAGGCACCCTGGCCTTAGGAGCCTTCTCCACAATGACCTGGGAAGACAGGAGAAGAATGGGAATCAAAACTAAACACCACCAGTGCTTTCCTTTCATACACTGCCAACCCCACGGGAAGGAAGACTGTCTAGGCCCAACACAATTTTCAACTCCTCACATCACATCACATATCCCTCTTTCTTGATTTTATGTAGTTATAAGTTCCTATGAGGTACACTACAGCACATTTACTTTCTGGTATTTAATTAGAATATCAAGACTTACTGGCTTTTTCTCAGGTAGTTCTATCACCTATTAGTGTTATTCTGCCTTTAAAATGCAATTTACACACCTGTGATCCCAGAATTTGGGAAGCTGAGGCAGAATCACCACAAGGTCAAAGCCAGCCTGGGTTACATGTTAAGTTCAAGGCCAGATTGAACTACACAGGCAGGACCCTCTCTTAGAAAAACAAAGTCTAAATGATTCAATGCTACATTTTACATTTTAAGTATCTCCCAGAGGCCCGCATGTTAAATGACTGGACCCCAGCTAGATGATAATGAGGGTGGTAGAAATCTGAAGAGGTGAAGCTTTAGGCCACTGAGAGCCTAGCCTCCAAGGAGACAGTGAGAGCCTGTCTCTTGTTCTTTCTCATTCATTTCCACACGCAAGGTAAGTAGTTTTACTCCACCATGACATGCTCTTTTGTCAAATGCAGGAAACAATGGAGCCAATTTACCATAGAATTAAACCACTGAAAACGATGGCCAAAACAAACCTGCTCTCTTTAAATTGATTTTCCTTAAGAATTTGTTACACTACTAATGGAAAGCTAACTAAAATAAAATCATAATGAGGTTTATCAAAAGTTTCAATAATCACTATACAAGTATACAACATACTATTAAGTCAAAATGTATTTTGAAAAGTTTTCATAACAAACGAGATTGATAGTAATACATTAAATCATTTATCAATGTTGGTTATATTAGGGCTTAAAGTGCACAATAGACACTTGTTTAATACCTCAAATTTTATAAACATCATGTATTTCTGAAATCAAAAATTCTCTAAACATAAACATTAATTTGAAGGGTAGGACTGGAAGTTTTTAAATTAAATATTGGGGGCTTTACTTAAAGTCAGCGTGTATGAAGCCCTTGGTTCAAAGTGCAGTAACAAAGAATTTCTAAATAAATCAGAATAAAAGCTGGTGTGGACAGAGGTGAGTCTAAGTTGCAAAGAAATAGTAGAAGAGTTTCAGAGGGAGCCCACCAAAGGCCACCAAATGCAGATGGACAGGAAACTGCAGAGCTCTTTTATAACTCAAGAGGAACAGACAGCCTGGCAAGCCATGACAGGCACAAGGTCTAGCAGCTCCTGTGGAGAAGAGACAGAAGGAAACCAGAGGGGGGAGGAGCAGGAAGGTAACAAAACAGATTGAAGCCATAGCTGTGGGGGATTTGGGGAAGAACAGGAAGATAAAAGGTAATTTTTTTAAGGCCTTGATTGATCAGAAGATGTCTAGGTTTCTAGGAAATCCAACCGTACTCCTTGCAGTGAAACCTGAGCAAGACACTCTGGGTCTCAGTTTCCCCTTTTGAAACATGGCTAACACTGGGGAGGCATATTTACATTTTTTAAAAAATAGACAATCCGGGCAGGCATGCTAGTGCACTACCTCTAATTCTAGCATTCAGGAGGCTGAGACCAGCCCCAGTTTGTTTTAAGACCAGCCTGAACAACACAGTGAGTTGAGGGTTAACCTGGACTACATAGCAAGAGCCTGTGGCAAACAATACAAGAGACAATCTATTCCTAGCAGTTTCCTGCTGTTGTGAGTTTTTCGATCCCTATAGCTATTATTTCAGGATCCAATGATCCTCTCTTCTCCCAAGGTAGCTGCACACTTACTGAGGGCCTAAGCTCAAATTATCTGATTAATCTGAATTGGGGGCTTGAGAAACCCTTTCTGTTTCCTGTAAAGACACTTTGCAAGGAAAGACTGAGGATTTGGCCTACAATTTCTGCTACAGCACAGAATGAAAGCAAAATCTCTTGGGACAGGAGTGTAGCTCAGAGGTAACAGTAATTGCGTCTCATGCTGCAGGTCCTAGGGTCAAATCCAGAGACATTAAAAAATTTCCAGCACTCGGCAGAGCCCTTCCAACTCACTTATAGCCACTGTAGGAGGCACAGCATAAATTAAAACATAACTGAAAGAGCCAGAGATCTGAGTGATGGTTTTCATCATTTGTAAATTATAATACAAGTAAAACACTGTAAATTATAATAGAAGTAAAACATTTCGTACTGAACGACGAACAAGAAAACAATCAGGAAGATTAGTGAAAACATGCAGGGCCAATTCAAGTAAAAGACAAACTGGATTCTTTTTTGAAGAAATATATGAGCATTTTAATTTGGGGTCAGGTACACACCAAATTTCATGATTTATGCAAAGCTACCAGAACACAGTTTCTCCTTGTTGAATTCTGAATAAAGAGAATTCTACTTAAGTTACCTTGCAGGAACCAGGCTATCCTGTTAACTCTTTTTTTTTTTTTTTTTTTTTTGTCTTTTTTTCATTGGTACCGGGGATTGAACTCAAGAGCGCCTGCTTGCGAGGCAGGTGCTTATGCCACTGAGCTAAATCCCCAGCCCCTTATCCTGTTAACTCTTGAGGGTAGCAACAGTTTATCTCAGGACTCAGCAATGTAACATATACTGCGTATTATTAATTCTGGCTAATAAAAGTGTAAATTCAAAAAACGATACCGCATAGAGATCAGGGGCTCTCAAAGGTCCACCATGTGACCACCAGGGCTGGAATCCCAGCACTGTCACAAGCCAGCAAAGGCACACTTGTAGGAAGTTACTTCACCTCTCTGTAATTCAGATTCTTTGTCCATAGAATGGGGCTAACAGTGATGTGAGGACTATGTGAACCTATAAACAGGAAGACTCAGAATACTGCCAGGGTACATGGTAAGATGTCTATAAAATTAGCTGTCACTTTTAAGTATTATTAAAGATGAGGATTGGTATCACCAGAATTGAGAGAAACTCTCAAACCTGTCACCAAATGTCCAGGGATCCCATACTGGTAAAAGGTTAGTTCTCACTAAACCTTTGTGTGTAATAACTGGGGTATCTCGATCGTAGACATTACAGAAAAAGCAATCTCTACTGCTGGGCTAATGCTCAGGTTCCTTCTGATAGCTACAAGACCGTGAAAGTCAGGCAAGGATAGGAGAAGAATCCCAAAGCGCACCTGGGTCAAGAAAAAATATCAGTGATTACCGTTTTTTAAAAATTACACATACTTACCCTATAGTCTCCACGTGAAGATAAAAACACAACCAACCTTTAAGCACCCCCCAAGCCCTCACATCTCTGAAATCCAACAGCTGCTGTTCCCTCTACCACACTTTAAAACCTGCCTTCCAATGTGGCTGCGCAGCCCACAGGCCAGAAAACCCAGGCAAGTGGGAGGGAGACAGCGAGAGGGAAAAACACCCGGATGCTGTCAGACACCTTAGTATTTCTCCTTCCTCACTGTCTGCTCCGGTTTTAAGCACTTAAATTGGGTTCCCATCGGACAAGAAAAACCTTTAGTCTAGCCTCACGGGGCCCAGGTATGGTCGGATCAGAATCAGTACCCTAGGCAGGCCGTCTGTCCCCACCTGGCTCTGGAACCAAAAGCAGGCAGGCGGCTGAGCCCAGAACATGACCTTGCATCCGGGCCTGTCTGGCGCCTCCCCCCGCACACAAGCCCTTAATTCTAACAGAAACCAGGAAAGAATCCACTGGCTTCTGGATCTTTTGCTCCCACGCCAGAGGATCTGAGGACCAAAGTGAACTCGATTTCAAGAGAACCATTTGGGCAGAAACCGACCGGAACCAATGCGTAGCTCCGGCCGTCCCCACCATTTCGCAGCACCGCCAGGATTGCAGATTTGCCGCCCGGGCGGACTCTGTACAGAGGGCCCCAGGGCGCGCGTCCAGCCGCACGTGCGCGAGACCTGCTGAGTCACTGGCACGCAGGCTGCGCTCCAGCGCCGCGGCCACCGCTGGGGCGGGCAGGGCCCAGGCGCGGGGCAGGGAGATTCGCAGGCCCCAGTCCCCGATTCGCCACGGTGAAGGTTCGGGTCTCTAGGCCCGGCTTTTCCCCGACACCTTCCCGCGCAAGGGCCCTCGCGACGCCCCCGCACTCTTCCAGTAGCCTTTTCCCCGTCCCAGGGAGGCTCACCGGGACCCTGTCTGGGTACTTCTTTCGGATCTTCTCTCCTTCTTTTTTCCGATACTCGAAGGGATGGTCCTCCTTGTACTGGAACTTCATGATGGGGCGCAGGCTTGCTTTCCAGAGATCCCCGCGCGAGGCCTGCCTCCCTTGATGAAGACTCGCGCGTCTCGCTGCCTCAGGCTGATTTCAGGGCTCCCAGGATCGTTCTAGAAACGGCAGCTCCTGATGCCACAGCACTTGACCAAGGGTTCGGAAAGCCTCGGGACCAGAGCGGGGAAACAGCCAGGTGAAAAAATTCCCAGAGGCTTCCCCGCGAGCAGGAGCACAAAAACACGGGGGCGGTGCGGCGGTGTTGTGACGTCACGTTGACCCGCCCACGCCACGCCCCCAGCGCGCTAGATTGCACTGGAGGGGGTGGACAGGGACCCTGCCTATTTCACAGTCTTTCCTTTTTCTTTATAATTCTCCCATATCGTACCCTGCCTAACAGCAAAATATTTCTCTCGTTGTTTTGTTATGATGGTCACATTAATAGTGGCTATGTACCTGTAAACAAGGTTCTAAAGATGTTTTCTTCCCTCTCTCCTGCATTTCTTGGTTGGGTCCCACAACAAATACACAAGGAAAATGTGGCGTTTTCCAGCCTGGGGACATCTAGGGGTCAAAGGGAAAAATAAGGGCCAAGACTCGGGATTCCTTGGCCGCAGCAGAAATTGTCCCGTGCTTGCCTAATTCACCTTTGCCCGTGGAGTTGCACGCTGGGCACTCCAGGGGCTAGGCTGGCTTTCTTGGCCCATTCCTCCCTCCCCTGGCTGGCCTCGTTTTCCCTGGGTTTTGCTGCAGTTGTTCTTAGGAGGGCAATATAAACGGAGCGTGACTCAGGCGTTTGAAGGTGAAGGGCATGGAATGGAACAAACGTTCTTATAAATGATGACTACTAAGAACCAAGATTCTTTATAAGTGATGACTGCTAAGGACTTCATGCACGTTCTAAGATGGATAATATTCCCTTTTTCCTGTTTATGCAGAAGTTGACCCTGTCTTCTGGACAGGAAACATGAAGCATTTTTAGAGGATTGTGATTCTCAAAACCAATTTTTTTCAAACTGGTGCAAAAATTCACCCAGAGAATAGATGTACAGGTTACAGAAAGCGCTGAGTAGAAGGAAGAAACCACGTGGGTCCTTGAGGCTGGCTGCTAGCACTCCTGTAACCTTCCTCCTCTAAGTCAGAGGACAGGGCCTTTCAGAATAGTAGTGTTGGTAGCGATTCCTGGGGTCCGTAGAAGGATGGCATGGCATCAGAAATGGAAAAAAGGGGTTACGGCTGTTTAGCCCTGCACAAATCGGGGCTGAGTTTTAAAAAATGCTGGACTAGGGGCCATAAAAAGAATTAAGATGTGTTGTTATATGCACCCCAATGCCCATAATGGGTGTAAGTCTTTTTTTTTTTTTTTTTTTTTTTTGTCTTTTTGAAACAGGGTTTGAAGCTGAACATGACTACAAAGAGCCTGTAATCCCAGCACTTGGGATGCTAAGACAGAGGTGGACTCCATGGTGAGTTCAACTACACTGCATATTGAAACCCAGTCTCAAAAAACAAACAAATCAAGGTTTCATTATACAGTTCAGGATGGCCTTGAGCTCAGCAATCACCTCTAGAGTGCAGGGATTACAAGCATATGCCACCATGCCCAGTTTGAATGTAATTATTATATAATGCAAATATGTAGTGATAAAAATTAAAACTAAAAAATGTGAAATACTGGACAATAGCAGCCCCTCTCTATCCATGTTTCCTTTTTCCTTTTTTGGGGGGGAGGGGGGGAGACGGGGATTAAACTCATGACCTCACACATGCCAGGCAGGGGCTTATACTGCTGAGCTAAATCCCGAGCCCCTATCATTGTTATTAAGACCTCAAGTGTCTGCTTTAAAAAGTAAATCCACAAAATAGAACAAACTAAGCTTCATTATTGAAATAAGAAAATAAATTATAAAACCTTAACTTTCTTATCCCCATGGCTTTCAATCCTTTCCATTTATGAAAATGCATAAATTAATGTATTAAATTACATATTTTATAATTTTCATACCTTCTTTTCAAACTGAAGATGGTCACTCACTCATTTTAACTTAGACTCAAAAGGCAGTATAGCTAATTTTTTTTTTTGTCTTTTTTTATCGGTACCAGGGATCGAACTCACACTGCCCGCTTGCAAGGCAGGCGCTTATGCCGCTGAGCTAAATCCCCAGCCCCAGTATAGCTGAATTTTTAAAGAATATTGTAACCAGTAAAGAAATATAATTGTGATGGAGACTAAAATTTTAAATACTGTTTTTTTAAAAACTGCTGGAAAAAAACTGTAGCTAGTTAAAATATTGATTTTAACTTTTAGTCTAAAAATATCTTAGTGTTGCTGCTGGCCATTACGTCTTAATAAACTGAATTCTTTAAAGATTTTAAAATAAATAAAACAAAAATAAAAATATTTTAGCACAGGGGCAATATATGTAGTATGTAAAAAATAATTGAACTACACTTGGTAACCTACATCTGTAGTCTGAAGAGTCTGGAAGCCGGAGGCCAGCAGATCACAAATTCAGGTTTAACACAGGAAATTTTGCAATTTAGCAAGCCATGTCTCAAAAATTAAAAAAGGACTGAAGGATTAACCTCGTGTGAAGGTCCTGAGTTCAAGATCCAGTACCACTATCACCACCACAATAATAATACTACTAATAACAATATGGACATGAATTTCTCATAATTTAGAGGTGAAAGTTTATCTATTTTTTTCCTACTATTAGGCTTTTCTAAATGCTAATACTTTACATTAGAATTCAAAATCTAAGCTAAGTGTGGTGGTGATATAGGAAAATGAAATTTCCAACCTGCTATATGTCCAGTACAAGTTCTTGTTCTCTAAAATCGAAATGAACTTCAGGAACAACAGAAGTTAAATATTTATTGAGAGAAAGAAAGCTTCTGTCTGAGAGCCAGACAGGTGTCCCAAGTGGGTTGCCAGGGACTCTGTCTTGTCTAGGGATTTTTATAGAGTAAAACCATTAGGCGAGGTGGATCTAAAATAGGGAAAACTGGGAACTCACAAGGACGATGGGCACGAGGTGGGACAGAGCTATGGTCAACCAGTAAGTTTAATGCTCAGGTAAAATTAACCAAATCAGGGACAAATGAGGAAGCAAGTCACCTAGCAAGTGAGCATTCTTTATGGATCTGTGACTCTTCCTATAGGGGGTTGGGATGGTGACTTCTGACTTAAAGTGATCCAAACTTAATCTCTTAAAGATTTTATTTAAGGGTGTGGTTGCATTTGTTTTGCCTGAGATCTGCCCCACAGTAAGAGGTATGTGTATCCATCCTGGTCACCAGACATCTGGTCTCTGTGCTGCCTGCCTAGCTCTGTCCAACCACCTATAATATTTCTAACTAGCTCAGCTGCCTGTAACAATGGCACACACCTACAATCCTGACACTCTGGGAAGCTGAGACAGGAAGATCACAAATTCCTGTCCAGCCTGGGAAATTTTTTGACTTAGCAAAATTCTGTCTCGAAATAAAAACAAAGCTGAGCATGGTGGTGGTTATGTTTTGCCTCAGGCAGTCTTGGAGAGCAGGCTGTTCAGAGAAAGCTGAATCTAGAGTTTGTGATTGATGCAGGGTTCAAATCTGGGATTAAGGGTGTGAGTGCTACCAACCTAGTGTCTTGTTTTTGAAATGCCTGCATGCAATATAAGGATGGAAAGAGGTTTCTCTCTCTTTTTATCTGTTATTTTGCTGTCTTCCACCACTTTAAACTGTTGCCACCCTGCCTTGGAGTCAACTGATTATAGATTGAAATCTTCACAAACTGTGAGCTAAATAAACCTTTTCCTCTTTAATTTTAGATTTCTATGGGGGCTAATCAGTTCCCCCAATCTTTCTCCTGAGGGAAATAAAGGAAACAGACACAGATTTTGAAAGTGCACTCAGAGGTCTGGGAGGTCAGTGCCTCAGGCTGGCCAGAAACAATGACTCTTGGGCCAGCCTCCGTTTATTGACTTAAGGCGTTATCATATGACCCAGAGAATGGCAGCAGTCTTATGCTGAGACAGTCTTATGCTGATAAGGACCACTTCAGATATTTAGAGGGCAGCTGTGATTTTAGGCTAATGAGAATCTTGTATATTGATGGGGACAATGGAGAGAGAGGATAGATTAAGGAGTTTGTCCTTTCCCCAAGGTGAAACTTCATTTTTGTTATCACTGGGTTCTCTGGGAACAAGATCTCACTAAATGGATTAGGCTGGTCTTGAATTCACTAGTCTAGGCTGGGCTCTAACTCACAGTGACCCTCCTGCATCAGCCTCTGAGTGCTCGGGTTATTGATGTGCACCACCACAACCCAGCTGTAATTTTAATTTTTTAATAAAGCGTCATCCATAAAACACGTGCCAAATACTATCCGAATGAGACTGGTTGACTGCAAGACCAAGACCAAGTATTTCTTACCACTGAGAGTGGGAAGGGGTGGACTTCCATCCTTAATAATTTGAAAGTGCCCACTTTGTTCTATCCCAACTGCCTCTGCCTGTTAGCCTTTAATTTGGCTTGTAGTATTGGTTCTCTCTTGCTGTAGAGCAAACCACATCAAAACAGTGGCTTAAAACAATATCATTGGATGGCACATCTGAGGTTATAGGATTCAGCCACACAATTCTCTTGAGTTCTCTTTTGGCTTTAGTCAGATAGTGACTGCAGATAAGATCCTTGAAAACTTCAGTGGGCTTCTCCTGATGGGCTGGGGAGAGTTCAACATGAGGCTCCCTGACCATCTCTTTTCCTTCTGTGTTATCACCTCAGGTCTCTTTGTGTAGTGGCAACACAACAGCCATTTTTCTTTCATAACATCTAGAGTCTCTTTGGGCACATTTCCAAAGAGAAAGTTATGATCCTTTGTAAACTAGTCTTTTAAAATCCTGCTGTAGAGAAGCATGCCTTCCCATGAACCAGGATCCGCCATGGGGATGGGGAAGAGACTCAGCAAGAGGCAGAACCATGTCTCCCAGTGAGCCAGCCCTTGCATGAACTGGGAAAGCGGAAGAGCATCCACTGTCCCCCTGCAGTAAACAATTGACTGATTCAGAGGACTCAGGTGAAATGTTAGCAGCTGAGGTGGAAGGAGTAGCTAGATGCTTATATTGTTCGGTTGACTTTGCAGGCCTGGGGATGGCAGTCTTGGCATCTACTTGGAGGATGGCAGTGTGCATGGTGGCAACTGGGGGGATTGCCTCCTGTCTTGTTTTTGAAATGCAGTGATTTGTTCCATTTTACTCTTTTGTTTTATTCCTATGTCTGATAACCTGAGCAACTATTTTGAAGATAATAATATTCAGTATCACGACCAC